AAATAAATAAATAAAAGAGGAAAAAAATTAAAAGATATGAAGTACCATCTGGCTGCTTGGAGCTTATCATTTGGCCATTGTTTTGCTAACACTTTAAGCATTTAGGAACTGTAGACAGAATGATAAAAGTATTTATAAAAATTGGATTAGTACTATAATTGAACAATTCATGGGCAATAAAAAGCTTCCTGAAATATATGAGGCATATTTAATTTTCTCAAGAGTTACTAGCTCATGAGATTACATAGTGATGTCCAGCAAGTGAATCACAGGCCAGCTGTGAGATTCTGATCCCCTACATCCTCAAAGCAGCCAGGCTGTGGTTTGGGACTTACGGACCCTCCTACTGATCTCCTGATAGTCACCATCTGGTCATCACCAGAGGAACCAGGTGCAGAACACATGCGCCTATGAGAACAAAAGCTCATGGAGCAGCTAGAGAAAAGTGCCTTTCAGGTGCCCAAGGGTAAGGGAACCAGCCTTAGGTCAGTGAGGTAGGGAGCAGGGTGGTGTGTGTGTGTGTGTGTGTACACACACACACATATCTGGAAGGAGGACAGCTACAACAATTTGCAAATCAGTAGGATGAATATGGACATGGGAATTAAAAAAATGAATCATAGCAATGTAAAATTTACATAAAAGAACAGATATTAATGACTAATTTCAATAAAGTGAAAATTAAAGTAGAAAAAGCAGTGGTTTAACTGCATTTAAAGAAAACTGACCAAAAAAGTACTGACTCGGTGATATAGCAAGTAAGTACTTGGTTGATAAATTTGATAAACTTTGGTAAAAAGTTTACTTATGAGTAAGTTCACTTATGAGTATGGTCTCTAGTTGTGACCATTTGCCTATAAAAGCCTCGAGTTTATGGTTGCAATGTCTGTATTCATAAATAAGAGTCAGAATCAAAAGAGAGGAAATCAAAACAGGGTCAAAAATGGGGAGTGGACTGTTTATTAACCAAAAGTAAAACCTATAAGATGGAGGAGACGCAGGAAGGGAGAGTGTCTCCCACACCTCCTTATCAGTTTTCTGCTGAAGACTTCTGCTGGCCGGTGAGCCATTAATCCCTTCCTGTCAGGCACACAGGGCATGCCGTGACTCATCAGTTCCTCCCTTCTCTGGCATGACTTTCTTTTCAGTGTTGGGCATTGAACTGAGGACATTCACACTGAGCCACACCTCCAGCCATTCTTGGGGTCAATCGATCGATTGATACTAGGAATTGAACTCAGGACCTTGTACTTGCCAAGGAGGCACTGTTCTGCGGAACTATATCCCCCGCCCAGCCATTTTTATTTTAAGACTGAAGTCACAATAAGTCATAAGTTAACCAGGCTGGGGTTGAATTTAACAATCCTCCAGCTTCCACTTCCCTGAGCACTGGGATTTCACATGTGCACCACCATACCAAGCTCGGAGTGATTCTTGCTGCTGTTCTTAAAATAAGTTAAGTGTTTAGAGTCCAACTCCCATTTTGACTCTTCTTGCACTGCCCTCCTAAAATCTCTCAACCTATGATTCTTGTCTGTCCATCAACTGCTGTCCCAATGAGAAAAAAAGTCATTTAATTCGCACAGCAAATTCGCAGCCCAGCCTTTATCCCCTGCTTCCTGCTTGTCCCCATCCCCTTGTTTCCCCCAGCCCATGACTGGGTGGCAAGAATAAGAAACAGGGTGGGTGGAAATGGATGGGTGTGGGAGTAAAGGAGAGCATGTACACGGAGAAAATGATGGCAGGTACATGATTCTCTTTTTTAACCAGAAAACAAGAGCAATAGAAACGTTATTCAGACTTTCTAAGTAAAAATATGAGTTCACACTTATGCTTTATTTATCATGAATGCACCCTGTTTTTCACTTATATTTCAAGACAAAGCATTTACCTCACCAGGATTATCATAATGAAAGATCATTTTTAAGAAATGGGAACAGAAAATGTTGATTTTGTCACAATAATCGTAGTGAGTATAGGCAGACAGTAATGTGATTCACTCTACACTTCTATGCAGGATAGGAAAGCAGAACCAAAACATTTGCGTGAGTCTTCATTGTACATATTTTCTTTGCTGTCCTATAGAAGTGTTGTTCTGAATGCCAGATTGCAGTACGGCACCTGGTACTTACGAGGGATCAACAATCAATGAATGAATGATGCCCATACAACCTGGGGATTACTAACATTCATCTTTTAAATTTTTGATGAGTATTTTATGAGTTTATATTTATTTACTCTTACACATTGGTAAAACAGCTTCAAATTTAGGTAAGGGTAAGAACCATTTGCTTCCTGAGATCCTTCTTGTTTATGCTTTGAAAGTGCTTTTTAGAAGACAGTCTTCTTAATGGATAGGTTCTTAATGGAAAGTGACTCCAAATGAAGATGTTTGAGTTTGAGGCCTATTTTTTTCTAAAGCCTTACTCAAAAGGAAGTGAGTATGAGGTGAAGTGCATTGACTTAAAGCACCACAGAGATGAAACGCAAAGCAGGAAGCAACGTCTCATCAGAGTACTGAACGGAGCACACTTGTGTCATGTGAACAGACATGACAAAAACAGTGCTCCTTAAGTTATTTGTGGCAATAGTGATCACATTCATTTTGATCTTGCCAGAATATTTCAAGACACCACAAGGTGAGTGTATAATTATAATCTAGCTTTCCTTCCTTAATTTTTAAAAATTGTCAGGTAATAGTTACAGAAAAGAACTTTCAGGATACATGTGCATGAGGTGAAGTGCTGTTTGAAAAACTAGTAAAATAAAATGAAATCACAATTTTAATTGATGGTTACATGGTACAGTAACCTTATTCATATTACTTATAGCATACATAAAAAAGAAAAGAAATATTTAAAGTTGGTAGTCTAGATTTCAAACATCGTCTTTACAATGCTCTCTTGTCACATGATTTTGCTCTTTGAAAGTTTCCTTCAAAATGCTTTTAAGTATGCTTCTACAATCTGAAATTATTTAATAAAGAAAGTAAGATTTATTGTGCTAAAATCCTTGAACTCCCTCTTTTTCAATTTAATGCAAATAATTGACTGCTGCATTTGGAAAAATAAGAGTAGACATTTTCAAAATGTAATGGAGATAAGGTGGGTACAAATTTGTACAGTATTTGTGACTAGAGAAAAATGGAAAAAAATTAACTCTGTGACTATTTCAGAGAATTGCTACATGATTGCTGAAACTTAGGGTTAGAAAAATAGAGATAAATTTAAACTATTTTTATATGGTAGTGAAAGATCTGAAAGTATATTAACATAAATGTTTTCGTAGTAACTGTGCCTCTTAGAATTTAATAAGAAAGAGTAAAAATAAAATGTTGTATTCTATCATTAAATAGAAATCATGAGTTTATTGAAACCAGAGAAAAACTTATATTTGATGCCTTGCTGAAATTAATATTTATTGTTGCATATATGTTATATTAAGAAATCAGATGAAAATATTTGCTAGCTGTATTTGATGACATATTACAATGATTATTTAATGTTTCATATTAGATAATGTTAAGCAGCCAGATAAAAATATCTTTGCTAAATAAACGCTATGAGGAAAATTTTGTGAATGATTGAAGTTTTAAAATGTTCTTTGTTTTGCTACCACTATGTTGCTCAGATTAAGCAACTGTAGCATATACTTTTAATGCTCAACTTAATAGGTGAAATTGAGCTATACAGAGACTAAAAAAAAAACTATTTTTAAACTGTAGTGGGCTGAGAGTAAGTTCATTTAATACTTACCTAGGGTAACAGGTACTGTATATACACCTATCAAAAAATCATATTAGATCTAATGAAAACCAGGTTATGGGCCTACTAAAGATTTGATGAACTATTTGTTAGCCATTGGTTGGTATTTAATGAAAACTGGCGGGTCTAAGATCATGCTAAGGTTCCCCTTCCCTCAGGCAGATGCATGGTTTTTTTAGTTCCTGTTTCTGAGTGTGACACATGGCCTCCTGGGGCAGTGGTAAGCAGAAAGAAGTGCCGCTCAGAGAAACTCACATGGAGGGACAGATGGAAGCTTTAATGGCCCCTTGTATTTGTGGGTAGAGCAAAGAATATTTACAAAATCCATCTTCATCCAACTTCCTGGGCCTAATGGTAATGTGTCAGTTCCTCATCTTGACGGTGATCAGCTGTCATTTATAATGATGTTTATCCCCCTAGTTACATAACTGATTGCATTAGCTCTTACTAGACCTTTGCTGTCTTCGCCAGCTGAAAATACCTGTTTTTCTCTTTGCCTGGCCCAACAACAGCTTAGATTACTTGTCAGATTCTTTGGGGTAGTGGATTTGTTTGGGAATTCTGTTTCAGAGGGTCCCTATTTAAAACATTTTTGTTTGAAATAAACAAAGAAAAGAAATAAAGCAAAACAAAAAATGAAATAAAGCAAACAAAAATGTTTAAAAACCACTGTTTTTTCTTGATATCATTTGGTGATAGAAGGAATTCTGAACAGAACCACATAAATAAGAAGTTGATTAGTAGGTGAATATTTTATACATGCAATAGTGTAATAATAATGCCATATATATGTATATATTTGATTTTGCGGCTTTTGGGATTTGTTTGTTTGGTTTGTTTGTATTTAGTCTCACTGGGTGTCCTTGAACTGGAAATTCTCCTGCCTCCTGCCCTATTGAAATATATTGAATTGTCAACAGTGAATTTCATAAAACAAAGTATCTAGTAAAATTATCTAGGTGACAAATTAAGAGAGTTCTAAAAGTGGGAAAATTAATCTTGAAATTCCCCGGTCTGTTCTCACCCCATCTGTTACTTGTTTCTTTTTTCTTCATTTTTAATGTTCTATTCACTTTAATTTCTAAGATAAATTTTATAAAATTATTTTTACTTATAAATTATTCACTGATACCCTGTCTTTAACATGTCAAATAAATTCAAAAGGAATCTTAATGAAGAGTAATGTATTCATGAGAGTTAGTAGATTTGATTTCAAAATAATAAACCTTCTGAAGTCCTAAGTTAAAAATGGAGCACTGTGTTTGATCATCTTTCATCAAAAATGTATCTGAGTTTCTGAATAAACTTTAGTCAGAATATTCAATTATCACAGTTATACAGTGTAAGCTATTTAGTCTAACTGAGAAGGGTAGCTTCTGAAACATTGAGTCTTTTAGTACGTTTGCATTGGGTATGTATTGGCAAGAGAACCAGTTCTGCAGTAGTATTTTTAAACTTTCAGCTTATATAGAAGGCAGCTAAGATACAGTAGTTAATGTAATATTTTGGCACACTCACACTGTATGTAACTAATGGAGATCCAGATGGGAGTGGATATATTTTGATTCAGAGTATCTTACAAGACACTGAAAGGATCTGGTTGATCCCTAATAAAACTTCAACCAATTTACTTTTGCTGGATTTAGTGTTTAAAACAGAGATTTGATTAACTTTTATATAAATCCCAATGATCTTTTATGTATTTATTCTTTCACTCAACGACAGTAGCTGCTCACCAGTAGGAACCCAGAGTTACAAAAAATCAAAGACAAGTCTTTTTTCAAGGAATTTTCAATCAGGAGGAAGACTAATAGGCAACTAAATATAATAGCATAAATTCTAAAATAGTGGTATAAAAAGAGCTGTCAGGGGAACATAAGTGTTGCTTCCAGTCCTATCTTGGGGGGATGTGCCTTCTATTTCCATTTGCCAAGAAAAATAACAACTAGCAGAGTTTAAATGATTGGTTAATATTTCTCTTTGCTTGCAGAAGCATTGTTTAAGCAACGATTATTATTGATTTTCAAATAAAAAGTTTTCATATCAATATCTCAAAAATTTCTGAAAGCAGAAATGGTAGCGAGTTATATAAACGTCCTCCCAGTGATTTGTGGCAATGCAGGACAGGAATAGCATAGATAAAAACACCTTAAATTTAATTTTATCTAGCTGTTTTGACTTCTTCACTTTTAAGAGCCAAACTCACATAAACTATGTTTACTAGCTTTCATTTCTCCTTCCACTTCACACTTTCTGATGGAAATGTTAGTGTAATAAACAGTCAAACTAAAGAAGATAAAGGATAAAAGAATTTTACTAATAAACTGTAGGATAATCCTTGGAGCACAGGAGTATTTATGTCTATATTAAAAAGATCAGCACATCAAGGGTAAATACAGTCAATTTTCTCAAAGTGTTGTCCTGGTTCTCAAAATGGGCATCTAATTTTCTTCTTATTGACTAGTTCATAAAAATTTAATCAGCGATCCAAAAAAGGTTTGAGATAAAGCTTATGACTACTTAAACAAATTTTTTTTTTTTTTTTTTTTAAAGATTGGATCTCCGTAGGTTGCTCAGGCTGGTCTCTTTTTGTTGTTGTTTTGTCTTTTTTTTTTTTTTCCGGTACCAGGAATTGAACTCACGACCTTGCGCTTGCCAGGCAGGCGCTGTGCTGCTGACCTAAATCCCCCAGGCTGGTCTTAAGCTCTTGGGCTTAAGTGACTATGCCTCTTTGGCCTCCTGAGTGTTGGGTTCACAGGTGTGTGCCATCATGCTTGGTCTACAATTTTTAAAGATTTTAACAGATAATCATATTTACATGTACCGTATTTATAGGCATTACGCAAAGACTTTAATTTTACTTATTTTTTATAGGTCATCTACTAAGGTTTTTTAAAATTTGATTAATTACATTTATTGGTACATTTTAGGTGTACATAATGATCACATTCATCATAGGTAATTTGTACCTGTCTATGACAGAACTTGATTCTTTTTTTTCCTCATTCTCCTTCCCTCCCTTCAATCCCCCTTCACTTCCCTATTTACAAAAGCTTTGTTTCCATTTTTTCCTTCTTTTCTCATCATTTTTTTCTCTTTTCTTCTTTCCACCCCTCCCTGAGACTTTTACGTATAGGAACTCATTAAATATTTCACCATAGGGGTCCAGGGGTATAGCTCAGTTCTAGAGCACATGCTGAGCATGTTTGAGGCCCTGGGATCAGACCTCATCAATGTAAAATAAAAAATTTAAAAATTAATGCATTCCTGGTGAAACATCATTCTCAAAGGAGAATATTCTGAAAATCTTCAGAAAGAAGGAATAAAACTGAATGGATAAATTTACTTTGTCCTAAGACTTAATTTACTGAAATTTCTCAATCATAACAGTTTTAAAATGGCTGCTACTGGGCACGTTATTGCTGTATGTAATATTTCAGACAATCTGTGCTAAGAGTATTGAAATCCAATGCTTTCCATTGCTCCTAAGGACCTGGCTTTATTGGCTAGCTATTAGGTTGTAGTACCAATAACCCTTGCCCGGGATGCTTTCTAACCGCTCATTGTGGGGGTGGTAAATGCCGTTAGTATGCCTTTTTTTAATAGAGAAAGATGACTTTTTTTCAAACATTAATATGATGATATATCTTCCCCTTACATTTGTTCTATTTTTCCTAACCACTTATTTATGTGTTTATTATACACTTTTTAATCATCTGACATTTCCAAAATAGAATGTGAGCTCCAGGACAATGCAGTTTTTGTCTGATTTCTCCACTGGTGTGCTGCATTTTGAGTCTTTAGGTCAGTACTTGCCACAGTTAGGGGACACTCAATGAGTATCTGTTGATTAAGCAAATTTTCAGAGCCATGTT